AAGTTCCTTCGTTCAAGGTTTTTTGAAAGAATACTGTCAATGGGCCGGCCAGAACGGATGCTAATTCTTTGAGCAATCTGGGATGGAAGCCGTCTGGTCCACATGACTTGTTGGGATTTTGAGCTACCAGGCGCTTGAGAACCTCTTCTTCGTGTATTTCAAAACATGTTAACTTCGAGCCGACTGGGCGCTCCTCAATATCTGGAATACTGTTCAAGTCCTCATCTGTGAACACACTGCTTATTGATGATTATTGATGATTATTGATGATTATTGATCACCATTATTGATGGTGATTGATGATTATTGATGATAATTGACGATAATTGCTAATGATAACCTATGATGATTGATGATAATCGAAGATAACTGATAATAAACGGTGATTATTGATGATAATTCAAGATAATTCATAATAATTGATGATAATTGGCGATGATTGAAGCGCTTCGAAGTTCTTGCTCGCACCGGCGGCGGCGAAGCGGCGGTTCCGGCGCCGGGGTAACGGCCGCGACATCCGGTGTTGTCTGTCCCGCCACCCTGTGTCCCGCCACCCTAGCTGTGTCCCGCCACTCTGTGTCCCGCCACCCTGTGTCCCGCCACCCTGTGTCCCGCCACCCTGTGTCCCGCCACCCTGTGTCCCGCCACCCTGTGTCCCGCCACCCTGTGTCCCGCCACCCTGTGTCCCGCCACCCTGTGTCCCGCCACCCTGTGTCCCGCCACCCTGTGTCCCGCCACCCTGTGTCCCGCCACCCTGTGTCCCGCCACCCTGTGTCCCGCCACCCTGTGTCCCGCCACCCTGTGTCCCGCCACCCTGTGTCCCGCCACCCTGTGTCCCGCCACCCTGTGTCCCGCCACCCTGTGTCCCGCCACCCTGTGTCCCGCCACCCTGTGTCCCGCCACCCTGTGTCCCGCCACCCTGTGTCCCGCCACCCTGTGTCCCGCCACCCTGTGTCCCGCCACCCTGTGTCCCGCCACCCTGTGTCCCGCCACCCTGTGTCCCGCCACCCTGTGTCCCGCCACCCTGTGTCCCGCCACCCTGTGTCCCGCCACCCTGTGTCCCGCCACCCTGTGTCCCGCCACCCTGTGTCCCGCCACCCTGTGTCCCGCCACCCTGTGTCCCGCCACNTACAGTTTACTGCCGTACAGTTTACTGCCGTACAGTTTACTGCCGTACAGTTTACTGCCGTACAGTTTACTGCCGTACAGTTTACTGCCGTACAGTTTACTGCCGTACAGTTTACTGCCGTACAGTTTACTGCCGTACAGTTTACTGCCGTACAGTTTACTGCCGTACAGTTTACTGCCGTACAGTTTACTGCCGTACAGTTTACCGCCGTACAGTTTACTGCCGTACAGTTTACTGCCGTACAGTTTACTGCCGTACAGTTTACTGCCGTACAGTTTACTGCAGTACCATGCGTGACTGTACCGTGCCTAACTGTACCGTGCATGTCTGTACCGTGCCTAACTGTACCGTGCGTGACTGTACCGTGCGTGACTGTACCGAGCCTGATTGTACCGTGCCTGACTGTACCGTGCCTGACTGTACCGTGCGTGACTGTACCGTGCCTAATTGTACCGTGCATGTCTGTACCGTGCCTAACTGTACCGTGCGTGACTGTACCGAGCCTGATTGTACCGTGCCTGACTGTACCGTGCCTAACTATACCGTGCCTGACTGTACCGTGCCTGATTGTACCGTGCCTGACTGTACCGTGCCTGACTGTACCGTGCGTGACAGTACCGTGCCTGACTGTACCGTGCCTCATTGTACCGAGCCTGACTGTACCGTGCCTGACTGTATCGTGCGTGACTGTACCGTGCAGCTACTATGCCGCAGTCCCAATAAAAAATTCACGGTAATCGACAGGCGCTAATAAAACATCGAAGAACTTTGCTGGAACTTGTACAGTCAATAGACTGGCTAGTCACGTGTACAGTCGCTGGACTGGCGAGTCACGTGTACAGTCTTATGAATGTGCGCAAGGGGGGTTGTGTTACATTGGGACTGTACCTCAATGGGGGTAGTAGCACGGGGGTTAATTAGCCCCCCGTGCTTTATTAATTATTTTATTAATTTATTTATTCTTTATTTAAAGAGGTAATAACACAGGGGTTGTTCCCCAAGGAGGGTAATGATACGAGGGCTGTACCCTCAGGGGGGTAATAACACGGGGGCTGTACCCTCAGGGGGTAATAACACAGGGGCTGTACCCTCAGGAGGTAATAACACAGGGGCTGTACCCTCAGGGGGTAATAACACGGGGGCTGTACCCTCATGGGGTATTAACACGAGGGCTGTACCCCCCAGGGGGTAATAACACGAGGGCTGTACCCCCAGGGGGTAATAACACGGAGGCTGTACCCCCATGGGGTAATAACACGAGGGCTGTACCCTCAGGGGGTAATAACACGAGGGCTGTACCCCCAGGGGGTAATAACACGAGAGCTGTACCCCCAGGGGGTAATAACACGGGGGCTGTACCCTCATGGGGTAATAACACGGGGGCTGTACCCTCAGGGGTTAATGACACGGGGGCTGTACCCTCATGGGGTAATAACACTGGGGCTGTACCCTCAGGGGTTAATGACACGGGGGCTGTACCCTCATGGGGTAATAACACGGGGGTTGTACCCTCAGGGGTAATAACACGGGGGCTGTACCCTCAGGGGGTAATAACACAGGCTCGTTACCCTCGGGGGGTAATTACGGGTTTGCCATCGATTTTGATGCTAAGAAAAGCTTTGGTGAAGTCATTTATTCACGAAATCATTCACTGAATGAAGTCTGACATTACATTCACTGAATGAAGCATGACGTTACATTCACTGAATGAAGCCTGACGTTACATTCACTGAATGAAGCCTGACGTTACAGTCACTGAATGAAGCCTGACGTTACATTCACTGAATGAAGCCTGACGTTACATTCACTGAATGAAAGCATTCATAACATTCACGCACCTGTCGCAGCCGTTGCGTGTCGCACGCTCACTACGGTCATTAGTCGTTCGTATTCGTTCTTTTGTTTAATATTTATTATTAACTTAGATGAATTTTTTTATTCTCTTGTTGGACATCTCGGAACTCATTTTTCATCCATTTATTTTCGAATTGAGTTTTGTTGCTTCGCACATTATCAATTCAATTTCAAATTTAGATAAATTTTCTTTGTTATTTTTTCGATAGAAAACATAGTTAAACTGAAGTAAATTGTTAATATTTTATCAAATATGTTTCTCTCACAGGATATTTTTTCGATTTTTTTTTTGCCTTTTATTTATTTTTTAGTTCATACGGAGGGGATTGACTGACTAAATTTATGGTTGACTAAACTAAATTTTATTTATAATAGCTTTTATTTTTACTAACATTTTTACTCTATATTTGTTAACATTTACTTTTTATTTGTATTGAAAATTTTTAAACTTCTATTTTTATTTATAATTTGTAACAAATTTCCAACCACAGTCCAAGAGCGGTGTCAGTTTTATATAAATAATATTTATTTTACTTGGACCTTAAAATTCATTCTTAGAGGGCGACTATTGAGGAATGGCAAAACTATGTTATACGTATATAAAATTGTTATTATTAATGAGATAAATTTGTAGATAAAAAATATTTAATTTGATTTTACTTACTTAGGAATTACTCACTTAATTAAAACAGCGTGTAAAATTTTTTCTACTTTGATACGAGAGTGAAATGCGAGTTCTTCGTATAATCTGAGGTCGAACGATTAGTATTTCTTCAATTACCATATATTATTTATATCTTTATAATTTGGGATAACCTACTATAGAATTCTATACATAGGTAACCGTGTAACCGTATACCATATACTTAATACACATACTTGAATCATTACTATATACTATACTTTATTCATTACGGTTCATTTTATGTATGTCAATTTTACCCAAACTGATTTATTCAAGTAATTTTACAACGTAAGCGTCAGAAATAAAAACATAACAAACTTTTTTAATGAATTTTATTTTTAATTGTCTGGAAAACATTTTTCGTGCTTGAATAAATTTTTTATTTACATCTGGTCAAGATTTATCAATAAAATTGAATACAATTTCAATTTTAATTATTATTGAACAAAATTGAATGTAATTTGAATATAAATAGAGTAATAATCAATCAATAAGATTTTAAAAATTACATAAATTAACAGAAGAAGTGACTTTTTACATAATTTCGATGCAAAGCTAGAACGAATATTGTGATATTCGCACGAATAGTCAATGCAGTGCAGAGACTGCACGAATCTTCTCACATTCGTACGAAGAATGTTTTCCCGTAACTGCATTTATAACAAACGTTAGGAACGTTTTCGTCTACGAATAGAAGTTTTTTTAACCATTCGAGCTCGAAAAAATTCTAAAAATATTCTCAACATTCAAAAATATATAAATGTTGGTGCGCAGGATACTTGACTGATGTATACTCATGAAGGCAGGATACTTGACTGATGTATACTCATAATGGCAGGATACTTGACTGATGTATACTCATGATGGCAGGATACTTGACTGATGTATACTCATGATGGCAGGATACTTGACTGATGTATACTCATGATGGTGCGCAGGATACTTCACAATGATTTATAACACATTTATCACTATAAATATATATTGATTTGTCTCGGCTTTTACAAAACCAAGATTGTACAAAAATGAAACACTTTAACTGATTTAATTCTTAATTACTGAATATAATTATCGACTGAATACAATTATTGAATAAAATTTATCGACTGAATATAATTGCTGAATATTATTTATCGACTGAATATAATTATTGAATATTATTTATCGACTGAATATAATTGCTGAATATGATTTATCGACTGAATACAATTATTGAATAAAATTTATCGACTGAATATAATTGCTGCACATAATTATCGACATAATTTACTGGAATATTAAAAGAAAAAGTAGACAAAAATTTTATTTTTGTGTCTAAAAAATTTTATAGAGAAATTTTTATTTATTTTATTTTATACAGAATACGAATTCCTGGTAATTTTTATGTCACAATATATTAATGTAAACAATTAATCGACCTACAATTAATTGTTTACTATTAATTAATCGGCATACATCGTGAAATTAAAAAATTGATCGCTCCACAAATATGTTAACGATATTTGTAATTAATTTATTTTTTGTTGAAAATAATATTACTTGAATATAGAGTTGAGGATGAATAAATTTTTTGGCATACGTATACATTTACTTTGATTACACTCACATATAATAAAATTTAAAATATAGCTTTTTAATTAGTGATCCTGATATTAAAATATTTTATGTTTAACAAAATTCTTCCTAAACGATATATTGAAATAAATTCTGCACAGAAAAACAAATATGATTTTTAATATAAAAACATTACAATATAATATTTTATTGATTTATATGAAGTTTTAAATTCATAACCCTAAGATAAAAAAAGCAAATAAATTTTGACATCTGATCAATATAAATAATAAAAAAGTAAACATAAAAAAGTAATAAAATCAAATAAATGAAATTAAAACTTAAATTAAATATACCTAAAAAAACTACTCGATTCATTTCCGAAGCTTTGCAAAAATAAGTATGGCGACTATTCATTAAAAATGGTGATTATTCAATAAAAATGGCGACTATTCAATAAAAATGGCGACGAGACAAGTCTCACCATCTTTAGCACTGCAGACTTCACGACTCATTTCCGTCTGTGAATTCTTCCAGTGCCAAGGATATGCAGACGAAAGCCATCTTACTCAGACGAAAGCCATCTTGCTCAGACGAAAGCCATCTTACTCAGACGAAAGCCATCTTGCTCAGACAAAAGCCATCTTGCTCAGACGAAAGCCATCTTGCTCAGACGAGAGCCATCTTGCTCAGACGAAAGCCATGCATCTTGCTCAGACGAGAGCCATCTTGCTCAGACGAAAGCCATCATACTCAGACGAGAGCCATCATACTCGTAGATATTTATAATGAAGTCAAATAGAAGAAACATGACACACTTTTCCGTATGTGTCATATCTCCGAAGCCCTGTTTCATTGCTGCACAAGTACCAAAAAATAGAAAAAAATTAATTTAGACGTGTGATTTTTTCTCATTAAAAAATATATCATCATTAATAGATAACAAAGTTAATTCCATCAAAAAGACTCAATACAGGGATTTAATTTTTTGCGAAACGATGAAAATCATTTCTTGAAACCTTTAGAAACTGATTCAACATGAACTAATTAAACTTTAAATTGAAAATGCAATCATCACATCACATATGTGAAGCTGTTGGTTTTAAAATATAGGTTTGCAGAGTATATGTTAAAGTGTTAAGGTGTTATGTTAAATGTTTGTTAAAGGAAATAAGTTAAAAGTACAATGATATTTCATATAATACGAGCATCAATGACAAATAATAAAATATAATTTTTAATGAAACAGTTATTTATGCAATAACATATATAACTTTACTAATTTTTTGTATCATTTTCTAATCAAGAAGCTGTCTATCCAAAATTTCATGATCATCAAAATTCAAGATCTTAAATCAATTTCCATTATTTAAATTAACTGTGACTATTAATTAAAGTTTGTTTCATGTCTTTGGTAATATATTAACATGATAGGAATTGTGAGATTTACTTTGAAATGCTTCAAACAAACACACAAATACGAATAATAAACAAAAACTTTAAACGTTTCTACATATTTTTCCACTGTCGTTCCGTGAAAATTCTTATACTTAAATATTTTTTAATTTATATTTGGGTATACTTTCATGTTTTCCAACATACGAGTCCTCATTATTGAGTCCTATTGTTGCCAACATGTATTCT